TCACCCCCGATCACCCCCCCATAAAAACCAGTGTGTTTTAGTGTTGAAGCTCTAAGCAGACACATGTGTAGAGTCAGTGTTTCACTCTGCTCTCACCGTGACACCAAACATGTTGCATCAACATACTTCATTTGAAAAAGTGAAGGGGTGTGATTCATTATACATAAGAAGTTATGTCATTTTAATTGTCTCAGTATGTGATAATAACTCGTGAAGGCTGAATTAATCCATTGATTTACTTATTTAAACTATTACACCAGTGGTTGGTGATATGTGGCTTGTGTACTATAAAACTTCTCATAAATATTCTGATAAATCCTATAATTAATGACCCTGTGACATATAATGACCACGAGACACATAAACTGTGGCTAATGGGGTCCTGAAGTATAGTTAGTACACATGCAATACGTTAACCTCATGTTTACTGGGAGCCGACTGTTACACACGCTCATTAACCATGTGTTCAAGCTAAGCTAATGCTACTAGTTTGCACATGTGAGCCACATGATTTTCCCCGTCCCCATTTTAAGTGCATGGACACCATTAAATGACTGGACATTAATGGTTATTGACCTAAACATGGGTTAAGGGTTTGATCTATTTTGAAAATATATTTCCAATTGTATTATTAAACAGTTTTTTACATTCATGTTACAGTATGTATATTCATCTGGTTAATGTTCTTCATTCAGCATCAGATCATGGCCGTCAAATAGTTCTTCACGTGTTTTCATTGTTCCTATAACATGCTGCCCCTCCTCTGTGAACTTGGATAATAAAACTGACGAGTGGCTCTGAACCTATAATTTGCAGACTCCTGTTTATTTTCTCTCTTCTCTTCTCCCTCACAGATTAACTGGATGCACCGTGGCCTCTAACATCTCCTTGGCACAGGGCTGGTTCCTCCAGGGTCTCTGCTGCTGCAACTGTCCAAACATGTTTCCACTGGCCTGGACTGAAGGCAGCTGCACGGTTTTTATCAGTCCAACCTCAGCTCTGCTGCCAAAATGATAGTTTGACTTTTTTCTCCACCGACTTCATGCTGCCACTGAGGGATTACAATCAAAAGAGGATTACTGTCAGGGAGTCTCGCTGGAGCAAAAGGACTGATAAGAAGATGGTATCGGGATCAGACAAACTGCTTCATCTTGGAGGCAGATAATGAAAATCACAGAGTGGAGAAGACCCGTCATGCAGATTGTGTGCGCCTCTTTGCCTCGTGATGTCTGTATTTACTTCTCGTCACCTTTCGTTTTGAAGCATTGGTGTTTCTGAGTAATAGAGATGGTTATAGCTCATTTTTCAGCTGCAGGTCATTGTCTTGGTGTTTGTCTTTCTCTGACCACAGTTCTGTGAACTCTCTGGCTCTGACTCAGAGAGTTTCCTCAAACACTGTTATATCATCCCTCAAACATTTATCATCCTGCCCTAAACTTTTCCCATCCCATCCGTCCAAACTGAACCCTTCCCTTCATTCCAACTGTGCCAAATTTTTTGATTTAGTTTATTTTTTATTTATTTTCTTTGAACTTGTGGTAGATTCCCATCACATATTTCACTCTGTATCCTCCCTGCTCTCTCTCCTCCGCCCCAGTTCCTCCTCCAGCCTCTAATTGGCTTCCATTACAGTACCGTTTCCTCTCAGTTTTTCCTCAGCCAGACTCTTGTGGGCAGGATCAGCTTCAGCTCCTCGACACTCACGAACATCAGCGGCTCTTAAAGACTTCATCACTTCAGCCTGTAAGTTAGGTTTTATTTCTTGAATAATGAATCTAAGCTGTCTACTGTATGTGAATTTCAAGGGACACATGTGAAGTCTGAACATGACAGGCCTGAGTTCGAGTTTTAGTCTTGAGGAAAGTGTTTCTTTTCCCCTTCAGAGCTTCTAAACTAAATTACAGCACAGAGCATCAGTGTGTATTTTGTCACTATATTACTGTTGATATTAATTAAACTTGAACATTTCCTCCTGAGAAATTTTGAAATACAACTGTCAGATAATTGTAGTGGAGTAAAAAACAGATGTATAGTAGGAGTTTAAAGTATTATCAATAAGTATACATTGTACTTAGTTACAGTATGAAAGGGTATTTTTAAACGACACCAGGTTCAAATAAATGAGCAGCTCTCCCTTTAACAGCCTGATAATGACTTACAGTAAATGTGGATAACAACTCAGCACTCCAGCTGGTCTGAAGGCTGAATGCCAAACCTTTTCCACTTGGCTGTTTGAGTTTGTTCGCTGACATCTTACAGAAATCCGATCTTGACACTGTCTGTAAAGGTTTAAACAAATCCTCCAACCAGACTTTCAACCTATAGACCACAGTCCAGTGATTTGGATTAATCTTAATGTATACTTCTTCAAACTGTTTTAAACTAAAAACAACAGGATAACAAATACACAAAGTCTTTCACATGCAAAAAAAGCAAAGCCAATGATCTGCTCCGACAGTGTAAAGTGAGAGTGCGTAGAGTTGCTCAGTAAACACTCATGTTCACATGTCAGTGAACTTCAGAGGAGGGTTCTTCAGTGTGTGTTTCTCATCATCTGAGGGCGACTGAGACAGACAGCTGCTCAGACTCGCCAGTATTTCTCCTCTTGTCTGCTCCCCTCATCTGCCAGGAATCCTGACATGCAAGTCTTTCTCCCTCACTCCTTCTTTCTCTCACTATTTCCCTCTTTTGTATCAGTTTTATTCCCCCCTCCCCTGTGAGGTTCTCCCTCTCTCTCTGTGTGTGTCTGTGGCTGTTGTGGATGTACAGTGTAAACTCAATAAGGAGACCTGCAGACAGACGACAGCTTTCATTACAAAACCATAAAGCTGGAACCCAGTGCTGTGAGCTGTAAGTCCTGGTGTTCAGTTCATCAGTTCAGTTAATGTTCCTGTGACGTCTGCCCAGCCCTCACACACACACACACACAC